TTTTTTTTTAATTTTTTTTTTAATATATGCAAGAGGATGGCAAGTGTTGTAGGTCTAAAAAGACATTTTTCGTTGTTGACGTGTGAGTAAGCAGTGGCAGCATCTTTTTGACAAATCCTTTGTTACAGACTGTTTTCCTTCATTTGAATATATGTAAAACCAGGTAGAATCGGTGAGAAGTTGGTGTTCTGGGGCTAGTCAGAAGTCCACAGGCTGCACAGTGCATTGGCACCACCATAGCAAAGAAGTGGTGTGGTGGCACCCAGCACCCATGCAGCCTCATGTGCTGGGAGGCTGTCCAACTTTCCTGGCTCAGCCACCCTGTATCGGGGCACCTCCTCTGAGGGGGCAGATGGGAAGAAGGTGTTTTCTTGGGGCTTTCTCTGGAACAGTGGAGCTCAGGCCCTCACTCCTCCTGCTAGCCATTGACTGGTTTTCCTGAAAATCTGTGGAAGGCTCATTGCTTTTGTGTCTGTCTTCCTCTTTGCAGGGTGAACTGCAAAATGAGATTTAACAGGGAGGATGGTAGGGAAATAAGACTTAAGAAGGAAGACCTTGTAGAATTTTACATGTACGTAGAAAGAAATCATTGCTGTGACAGCATTCCTATATGAACACAGTGATTGTGTGCACCTTAGCCTCCATCTTTACCTGATTTGTTTCTGGGTTTGCTCTGAAGAGGTTAGGAATGTTTAAAAAGCTCACACACGTCAGATTGTTTATTAAACACTTAGCAACCACATTGACCAGAAGTATTCCTCAGGAGGAATCTAAGTAATACTATTACAAGTTGTGTCTGTCATTAAGGAAAGCACATCCTGCTGATAAAGGAACAGGATGGTAGCTCACTGCTGCTTTTTGGCTTGCTTCCATGGCACACCATTGTTGTGTTGGCTTTCTGGTTCATGTTTTCTCCCCCATAAACTCAATACCCATGATCTATGTGAACTACGTGCTTGTAACATAACACGCTGTCTGTCAGCATCTCTTCTCATAACACCCGTTGGCGCCAGCAGTTTTCTGTCATGTTATGCAGAGTTGCTGCTCACAGTGTGCCATCTACCTTACTTGCAATCTTTGTTTGTTAGGTGCTTTTGGAGGATTTGGGACAACTACCACCACTGCGGGACCAGCATTTAGTTTTTCTGCTCCTACCAATACAGGCACCAGTGGTAAGAGAGTATACAAGTCCAAAAGGATTTGCTTTAGAGCAAACTGTGGGACATCAGCCCTTCACAGTAATGTTTTGGATTGTGCGTGTATCTTCTTTTCAATAATTATTTGCTTATTTCCCCAGGACTCTTTGGTGCTACCCAGAACAAAGGCTTTGGATTTGGTACTAGTTTTGGCACAGGCACTGGAACTGGCTTAGGCAGTGGGCTGGGAACTGGGCTGGGCTTTGGAAGCTTTGGCACCCAGCAGCAACAGACCAGTAAGTACAGCCTTCTCTTGATTTACCCCTTCCCTGGCAACAAAAGCAATAAGGCTGCAGCAGGCACACAAGTAGTTGGATGGAAGTGTATTATAAAAGGAGGCTGTTACACTTACCTTCTGATTGTCGGAGGCTTCTCAGAAACTTGTTTTTTGAAATGCCTGTGATTGGAGCTTTTGCTTTTTTTCTTAAACAAGAGGTCAAACAAGTGTCTAAGTTTCACCCTTCAGTTTCCAACAGCAAATCCACTTTGGTTTGGTGGTGGTAGGGGTAGTTACAGAATTGATGCTGGCAGTCACAGCATTACTAGAAAGGCGAGGAAATGGGGTTGAATTTAGTTTAAATGTGACTTGGATCATGACCAAGACTGAGTCCACTGAATTTATAACAACAAATCTGTCCTTCAGACTGAGGTCTTGAAGGTTCCACATGGTGTCATGTATTGATATAAATGTCTCATTTAAAGAAAAAAAATAATCTTCTAACAGGGTTCAAGAACTTCTGTTGCTGAGGAAGATTGAGTATAAAAACACGCTTTTAAAAAACATTATCCAATTTTGATTATTTATTCTGTGCATTTATTTTGCTTCTCAAAATATGAAAAGAAGTGATTCCAATGATGCACAGATGGTATATGTTAACAAATGAGTCTGTCTTGGTTGGTAAAGGAGTTAATTTGTTTTCCTTCATCCTACACAGCATTAGGAAGTGGGTTGTTCAACCAGCCTACTCAGACCCCTGCCCAGTCGAATCAGCTCATCAACACAGCAAGTGCCCTCTCAGCTCCAACACTCTTAGGAGATGAGAGAGATGCTATTTTAGCAAAATGGAACCAGCTGCAGGCCTTCTGGGGTACAGGCAAAGGCTACTTCAACAATAACATTGCTCCAGTGGAGTTCACACAGGAAAATCCCTTCTGCAGATTTAAGGTATGAATTGTTCACCTGCTCATGAACAGTTCTGAAGCAGTTACACTACTTGCTGAGTGTTGGACGGTCTTGTGAACATTACATCAGATATAACTTCT